GGATTCCTTGAATGGCGAAGTGTCCTTTTAAATGCGTCCTTATTTAGAAAGATGGCCCATTTGAGAATTAATGTTCCTTTTCTTTAACAACTCCAGATAAGGCCCCATTGGACATAAAAGTGAAAACACTTTATTTATTTGGCTTTTATTTTAGGCTCAGCAGGTACATGTGCAGGTTTGTTACATGAGTAAATCACACGTTGCTGGGATTTGGTGTACAGATGATCTCATCGCCGGGGTGGTGAGCATAATACCTGAGAGTTAGTTTTTCAACCCTTGCCCCCTCAGACCCTCCCCCTGCCGGCAGTCCCCAGTGTCTGTTGTTCTGATCTTTGTGTCCTTGTGTTCTCAGTGCTTAGCTCCACTTACAAGTAAGAGCATGAAGTATTTGGTTTTCTTTTCCTGGGTTAATTCACTTGGGTTCATGACCTCCAGCTGCATCCGTGTTGCTACAAAGGACACACTTTTGTCCTTTTTTATGGTTTCATAGTATTCCATTGTATATATGTACCACATTTTCCTTATCCAGTTCACTGCTGTTGGGCACCTGGATTGATTCCATGTCTTTGCTATGCGAACAGTACTCCTATGCCATGAGCATAGGAGTACACGTCTCTTTTTGGTAGAATGATTTACTTTGCTTTGGATGTATACCTAGTAACAGAATTGCTGGGTCAAATGGTAATTCTGTTTGAAGTTCTTGAGAAACTTCCAAACTGCTTTTCACAGTGGCTAAACTAATTTACATTCCCACCAACAAAGGTTTTTTTTGTTTTTGTTTTTGAGACAAGGCCTTGTTCTGTCACCCAGGCTCACTGCAGCTTTGACCTCCTGGGCTCAGGTGATCCTCCCACCTCAGTCTCGTGGGACTACAGGCACACGCCACCACACTTGGCTAATTTTTAAAAATTTTTTTGTAGAGACAGGGTGTCACTTTGTTACCCAGGCTAGTCTTGCACTCCTGGCCTCTAACAGTCCTCCCACCTTGGCCTCCCGAAGTGCTGGGATTATAAACATCAGCCAACATGCCCAGCCCTGTGATTTTAATTTGCATTAAAATACTTTTGATTTTGTGATAGATGCTATAGCGTTAAACGTGAAAAGGCCCAGGACATGTGGATCTTAGAAGGCACCTGCTTCCATATCAGCCGTCTTTGTCAGCAGCTTCCTGTTGCATGGCTTGTGGCTCCGGCTTGAAGCTCAGCATCTTCAGCCCTTGCCTTCTTCCCTGTGTGATTTTCTTACATCTTGGCAAAGGCCTGCACTTTGCGCACAATGCTGCTGTGTGTCCAGGCCATCTTTCTGGGTGTGATACCCTGTGTATTGAGGAATCCCCCAACCAGTACCCCTGACCCTGCTATACCTTGTAAACCAATGCCTGTTGCATACCCAGACCAACCTGGTGATGAGAGGGTTTAACACCTTTGTAGGCCAGGTGCCTTGGCTCACACCCATAATCCCAGCACCTTGGGAGGCCGAGGCAGGTAGATTACTTGAGTTCAGGAGTTCAAGAGCAACCTGGCCAGCATGGCAAAACCCTGTCTCTACTAAAAATACAAAAATTAGCTAGCGTGGTGGTGCACACCTGTAATCCCAGCTACTTGGGAGACTGAGGCACGAGAATCACTTGAACCTGGGAGGTGGAGGTTGCAGTGAGCCGAGATTGTGCCGCTGCACTCCAGCCTGGGCAACAGAGCAAGACTGTCTCAAAAAAGAAAACATCTTTGTAATAGTATCTCAACCAGTGGGTAGAGCTGTGACTGGCCATCAGCTGAGCTCCAAACCTAGACTTGCCGGTCTCTCCATGAATACCTGACAGGTTCACCACATTTTTTGTGTCCAAATCAGGCTCAACTTTTCCTCCATACAGGTGGTCTCCCCTCCTGAACCTGGGAAGCATCTGAGGTTTTTCTGTGTCCTTTGCCTGGTGATGGGATCTGAAAGAGCTTCCTCCTTCCTTGCCTACATTGCTGCTGTTTTTGTATTTGTTCAGGCTCTCCCTAGTTCTCTCCTGGCTTACAGTCACATTTCTTAACTAGTCTTAAAACTCTTACTTTGCTGGTCTTCTGTCACATGGGAGCTGAAGTGGCCTTTCTTTGTACCCTTTGTGTTACAGGAAGGACTCAGGTGTCTTCTAGGCATCGGATCGTATTACTCTCTTGCTCAACACCTGTCGTCACCTTAGGGTGAAGTGGTTTTCATCTCATTCAAGTGCCCCTTCCCGTTAAAAAGCTGGCCATAGCAGCCTCTTCCCCATCTGATGGGGATGTGCCTCTGGCTTGGGCCTCCATTGCCACTTCAGTCCCCTGGCTGAGGTATTGCCTCAAGGATTCCATTGTGGGTATTTGAACCTCTGTTGAGGTCAAGAAGCCCCACCTCAGCGTCCCGAATAGTTGAGACTACAGATGCTTGCCATCACACCCAGCTATTTTTTTGTATTTATTTATTTATTTATTTTTAAGATGGAGTTTCGCTCATTACCCAGGCTGGAGTGCAATGGCGCGATCTCGGCTCACCGCAACCTCCACCTCCTGGGTTCAGGCAATTCTCCTGCCTCAGCCTCCCGAGTAGCTGGGACTACAGGCACGCACCACCATGCCCAGCTAATTTTTTGTATTTTTAGTAGAGACGGGGTTTCACCATGTTGACCAGGATGGTCTCGATCTCTTGACCTCGTGATTCACCCGCCTCAGCCTCCCAAAGTGCTGGGATTACAGGCGTGAGCCACCGCGCCCGGCCAATTTTTTGTATTTTTAATAGAAATAGAGTTTCACCATGTTGACCAGACTGATCTTGAACTCCTGACCTCAAGTGATTCACCTGCCTCAGCCTCCCAAAGTGTCGAGTTTACAGGTGGGGGCCATCGTGCCTGGCCAGTCTGAGTCATTTAGAAGTAGTGTTTGGCTGGGTGCGGTTGAACCCAGGAGGTGGAGGTTGCAGCGAGCTGAGATTATGCCACTGCGCTCCAGCCTGGGCAACAGAGCAAGACTGTGTCTCAAAAAAGGAAAGGAAAGGAAAGGGGAAAGGGAGGAAGGAAGAAAGAGAGAGAAACAGAGAGAGAGAGAGAAAAGAAAGAGAAAGGAAAGAGAAAGAGAGAGAAAGAAAGAGAGAGAGAGAAAGAAAGTGTTATGGACCAGAGTTGAACTTCTCCAAGTATACTGTGCAGGCATGTCCCCTGGGGACCTGGCTGAAGTGCAGGTTCTGGTTCAGGAGGTCTGGGATGAGACCCAAAATTCTGCATTTCCAATGAGATCTGGGTGATGCTGCTTCTCTGAGGAGCACACTTTGAGTAGCCGGGGGGCTGCGGAGTCCAGAAATAAACCCAAGGATGGGTGTATATCTAGCAGATAACAGAGGTAGGAAAGGGCTGGTTTATTTCATGGGTCACAGAGTCAGATGGCTGTCAGAGCTGGGAAGTGTGTGAAGCAGCTGGTGTCAGGCTATAGGGAACACTGGGGCCTGAAGATTATGTTCCTTCTACCTTAGTGTTCACTTTCAAATTTAAAAAGGAGGTGAAGAAAAGAGAGGAAGGAAGCAAGACTTACTCCAATATCACCTCAAAATGGAAACATTTTGAGGTGATGTTGGACGGCCTGGGTGGGACTTAACATGGCACTCATATCACAAAGGAAAATACATTAGCATGAATTCCAGAAGCATGAAATCTCTAAATGTAAAAAATAAAGCTATGAAAATGTTAGAAGAATTGAAAGAACGTGTGTATAACCTTGAGGTAAGGTAGACCTCCTTAAGCGAGGTTGAAATCCATGAAAACTATCTGGTATCATATAGGCATGAAGGCAAGGTCAAAAATAATGGCCAGTATCACTGAAGTTTAAGAAAGTAAACTGTTCTTAACCCATCGAATTGACGGAAGTTTTAGAGTGACAGGATCCAGTACTGATAAGGGGAAAGGAAGACTCTCCTTCAGTGCAGGGCATCTGGAAATGTTTATCAGAATGAAAATCGCATACCCTTTGATCTAGATTTTGGAAGTTTAGCTTAGCTCACAAAACAAAGTATCAATAAATATAAGTGTAGTGGCGCATGCCTGTAATCCCAGCTACTCCAGAGGCTGAGGGAGGAGGATTGCTTGAGCCCAGAAGTTCAAGACCAGCCTGGGCAATATAGTGAGACCCTATCTGTTAAAAAAAAAAAAAAAATTGAAAAAAAATTGAGGTATCATTAAATGACAATAAATAAGATTTTTAACAAGGACTTCTGTAATTTCAGAAGAGGGGAGAATTATAAATTGGGTCCCCGAAGTGCCCATCACCTAGCTTCAGCAATAAATGGCATTTCACTAATCTTGGTTTCTTTCTTCTCCTGTACTTATTCCCTGCCCCCACCCTTGAGTTCTTTAAAGCTAATTCTAAACTTGTCATGTCACCTGTAAATAATTCAATATACATCTCTAACTGATCAGAGGCTTTAATATACAAACACGTAGCCACAACACCAAATGCACTAATTCCTTAGTAGCAGCTAATACCTGTCCACTCCACATTCAGATTTCCCTTATTTTCTCAAAATATCTTTTTACAGTTAGTTTATTTGAGTCAGTTCAAACAAGCACCACACACTGTGTCTGGTTATATGTTTCTCAGATGTAGTAATACATACTTAATACAGCACTGCTTGTAATGGCAAAAAGAGACACACACAAAATAAATGGGGCAAGAATGTCTGTAAAGCAGGCAATGATTTTGCCTGTAGACAGGATTAAAAGAGAGTGGGGTGGAAGAGGGGTTGTTAATGTTTTTTTAAATACCCCTAGAACATTTGACTTGGTACAAAGTGCACGTTTTTATACTTGAAGAGAAAATCTTAATAAAAAAGCCAGCCGGGTGCGGTGGCTCGTGCCTGTAATCCTTGGTTGGTGAATCCTGGTGGATTAAAACTTTGCACATCTGTTGATTCCATGGTATTAGGGTGATTTGGGATGAGTGCTTTGCTATCAGTGTTTAACACTCTGTTTTCTTCTATCCTCTTCCCCTCAGGCATCCACCATGTTGCGAGCCTCCTTGGCACCCGTGTAAGTAACTGCTCTTAGGAATTTTTATTAAGGAGAACAGCAATGCGTAAAACGGGAATTCAAAGTGTCTTTAATAAACACTCATCTTAGCAGCCTAGTTTAGAGGAATGCTACATTTGAGCTAGAACTACATGTGAATATTAAAGGAAATATGAGTACTTATAAGTAATGTTGTTAAACCAGAATAATCTTTTTTTTTTTTAGATGGAGTTTTGCTCTTGTTGCCCAGGCTGGAGTCCAATGGTGCAGTCTTGGCTCACTGCATCCTCTGCCTTTTGGGTTAAAGTGATTCTCCTGCCTTAATCTCCCAAATAGCTGGGATTACAGGCATGTGCCACCACACCTGGCTAATTTGGTATTTTTAGTAGAGATGGGGCTTCTCCATGTTGGTCAGGCTGGTCTCGAACTCCCGAACTCAGGTGACCTGCCCGCCTCGGCCTCCGAAAGAGCTGGGATTACAGGCATGTGCCACTGCGCCCTGCCATCTTTTATTTATTCTATTTCTTTGGTAAGGAAGCCTCAAATGAAAAAAATTGTTGAATTGTTCATATGGCATTTTATAGAAATGAATTGAATCTACTACCATAGTGCAATCCACAGAGCGTTGCAGTGTCTGAATTTATGTTGTCTGCTGGATCACGCTGTGATCAGGGCCATGGGCAGCTGTGTGTGTGCCTGAGCACTCCTGTTCTGATCATTTGGGCTGTTCCCCTTGGGAGTGTCTTATGCTGTAGGGGACTGTGGTGATGGAGTTGAGAACCTTTGACTTGGACATATGGACCAGGGTGGCTTCTGGGACCCTCTGAGCCAGCTTGGTGGGGAAGGCGAGGAAGACAGGGGTACTGTGCGATTCCTCAGACACCTGAGATGCCCACAGCATTCCTCCTCCCTCAGCCCTGCCTGCGTCTGACCTTGACCCTGCACTTTATTCTCTCCTACCACTTTGGCAGCAGTATCACTTACTGCACAGATGGCTAGGGTTAAAAGCCCACCTCTGCTACCCACCCTGTGACCAGGGATTACTTATATAATTTCTCTGTGCTCAGTTTCCTCATTTATAAAATGAGAAGAATCATAGTAATTCTATTATAGGATTGTTGTGAGATAAAAATTGGCTAATACATATACAGCACTTAGCATTTGGCGTAATACTGGAGTATTACACTAAAATGAGGAAATTATCATTGATACAGTACTGTGAACTAGACAGCAAACCTCATTAAATTTCACCAGTTTTTCCATGCCCTCTGATCTCCTCTGCTACAATAAAACAACAAAACAAAACGTGAAGACACTTATGTTAGTGACAGGGAAGCTGAGGTGATGATTCCTTTCGTTTCTGGCTGACTGAAGGCAGATGGCGGGGCAGTCTGAGCTGTGTGGATCTCAAATCCGAGACCTCTCCTCACTGAAACCTAGCTCCCCTGAGGTCTTTGACTTGGAATCTTCCTGAGGAGGGTCTGCAAATTGTCCTACAACCCATCTCCTGGCTGTGTTCCCATGCTGCTTCCTGACCATGCCTTCTGCCTCCTCGGAGGGCTGAGCCACCCACCTACTTACTCGTTTTTTCTTTTCTTTTCTTTTTTTTTTTTTTTGAGATGGACTCTTGTGGTGTCTTGCCTATGCCATAGTGCAGTGGCGCAATCTCAACTCACTGCAGCCTCTGCCTCCTGCGTTCAAGCAATTCTCCTGTCTCAGCCTCCCGAGTAGCTGGGACTACAGGCATGTGCCACTCTACCTGGCTAATTTTGTGTTTTTAGTAGAGACAGGGTTTTACCATATTGGCCAGGCTGGTCTCAAACTCCCAACCTTAGGTGATCCACCTGCCTAGGCCTCCCAAAGTGCTGGGATTACAGGTGTGAGCCACTGCACCCAGCCTCTGCCTACTTATGCTTCACACTTATTTCCTGACTGTTGTTCGTCTTCCCCCAATCCAGTCGCTCAGGCTTGAGAGGAACAGTGGCTTCAGGTGTTGAGGTAGAACACTTAGGGCCTGCGGATGCTCATCGTCTTTGGACTGTGTCCAGAATTCTAAACAGGACTTCAGTGGAAAGTTATGATGCCCCCAAGGTGATTTATTCCCCATCCTAGGGGCCTCTGGCTGAAGGTAAATCTGTAGGGGTTTCTAAATCTGTTCAGGCAGAGACTCCTTGTTTTAGGAAAAATGTTAAACAGAATCTCAGTCCTCCAACAGAACAGGCAGAGCTGAGCTGGTTGAAGCTGAGGTAGGCGCCTAGACCCCAGGCTGTCCTCTAGGTGGAAGCTGGTAGGTCATGCTGGGAGCCCAGGGGAACAGCAGTTCTAGATCGGGTGCCATAATGCTTAGGAGGTGTAATGAACATGCCCTTTTGCCCTTTTCTTTCTGTTTGAACTTGTGTTGCTGAGTAGGAAATTGAAGGATGTCCCATTACTGCCCTCCCTGGATTATGAGAAACTGAAGAAGGATTTGATTTTGGGGAGTGACCGCTTGAAAGCCTTCTTGTTGCAGGCTCTGCGCTGGGTAGGTACCAAACCAAACCAGTGGTTTTCTTGGCTGGCTACCTTGCCTGTATCTTTTAACCCATCTTCCAGAAATCATTTTTCCCCTCTGTCTGCTGACACCAAGAACAGAATTTGAAAGCCGCTTCTGAAGATAGCCTGGGCCTCCTTTAAGAAACCCCTATATTATGACAATTGTGATGTAATGAGTTAAATAAATGAATTTCAAGGCCAAGAAGACTGTACCTGCCTGTGGCCCTTTCCTGGCTGTGAGCCCCACTCTGCCTGTGGGGGCCTGTGTGTGAGCGCATGGAGTCAGGGTTGCCCACAGCCCCACAGAGCCTCTGTATTCAGGCCCTGCTGTGCAGCCACCCTGGAGAAGTACCAAGGAAAGAACTCCTGTTCTCAAGATTCTAAGGGAAGTGGCCTGGTCTCCGTCGTTACTTTTCTCCCTACCCTTCAGCTTGAGTGCAGTTGAAGTCAGCAGTTGGTTCTCAGGCTTTTTAGTGTCAGACCCCTTTCCACTCTCAAAAATTATGGAGGACCTCAAAGAGCTTTCATTTATGTGAAGTTATTTGATCTACCAATGTTTATCGCATTTGAAATTAAAAATGAGAAGATTTGCCTGGGCGTGGTGGCTCACACCTGTAATCCCACTAACTTTGGGAGGCCAAGGTGGGCTGATCACCTGAGGTCAGGAGTTCTTCAAGACCAGCCTGGCCAACATGGCACAATCCTGTCTCTACTGAAAATACAAAAAATTAGCTGGGCGTGGTGGCAGGTGCCTATAGTCCCATCTACTCAGGAGACTAAGGCAGGAGAATCGCTTGAACCCAGGAGGTGGAGGTTGCAGTGAGCTGAGATCATACCACCGCACTTCAGCCTGGGCAGCAGAGTGAGACCCTATCTCAGAAAACAAAAAAACAAAACTGAAGATTTGAAATATGTGTTTATTAATTCATTTAAAATGAACACTAATAAGCAAATGACATGTTAACATAAATAACACTTTTTATGACGAATACTACTTTCCAAACAAAATTGTGAGAAGAGCAGCACCGTTCTGCAGATGTCTTTAATGTCTGGCTTGATGGAAGAAGCTGGATTCTCATATCGGCTTTGTTTTTGACTGTCAATGTCACACTTCATATAGCCTCTCAGAGACTGAACATAAAAAAGGCATGATTGTATCTTAGTATTAGGAAAATTGTGACCTTGCAGACCCCCTAAAAGGGTTTGGAGGACCTCTCAGGGTTCCCTGGACCACACTGTGGAACTGCTGGCTCTAGCCACACTGATTGAACCGGCACTTCTTTAAGGGAACAGTCCGTTTGAATTCGTTAGCATCAGACATCTTCATGGACCCCCGCATTTCAAGGTATCTTGGCATCAGGATCCTTAGCAATTTTCCATCTGTGGGTAGAAGCAGTTCTTACTTGCACACGAGTGAATGGCAGTACTTCCTGAAACACGTCTTGAGGAGGACTCTGACGACATATCCACGATCTGCAGGAAGTGTCCTGTGGAAAGCAGTGATGCTGCTCTGGTTTTGGTTGGGTCAGGACTCCAGTGGGTGGGGCAGCATGGGTCATCAGCAGTGGCTGTCTCCTCCCTGGCCATTTACCTCTCTCTGCTCAAGGTCTCAAACTCATCTTTGATTTGCCCCTTGGTTTACTGATGCTGCACTTCCTCTCAGTCTGTGCTACTCCTGAGCCTCTTGCTGAGACAGAGTATTCCTTTGCTAAGAGAGTGACATCTTCACAGAATAACCAGGAAAAGTGAAAGGTTTCTTAGGATTTCGTCTGTGTCTCTCTCCAGTGGCCCCACCTGGCTTCTTGCCCCTGTTTCTATTATACCCGAGTGAGTTTAAACAGAAACGCCACACTCTGAGTTTGTTGAGAGTCCACCTTTAATGACTGGCGTCTGAGAGTTAGCTAGAGCTCAAATCTCTCAGCCTAGAACAAAGGGCAGTCAACATTTTTATACCAGTTTAGGGTCAGGGGGTGGTAGGCAGATTATTACAGAAGCAGAAGGAGCAGGTTAGGGGAATCCAGGAGGTGGGGAGCCTAACAACAAAATTCTATTTAAAGTTGTTTTTCACTCAGGATGTGGGGTAGGCAGTTACACAGTTGCAGGTACAGGATGTATGGGCCAGTGGGCCCTGTTTCTCAGAAAATTGGTTACAAAGATGGCAGCTGTCTCAGACCACAAGCTCTGGGAACAGAATGCCCAACATAGCTCAGGGTGGGCAAAATGGAGTTGGCAGGATTGTTCAAAATGTATTCATCACAGCCAAGCTAGGTTAGTTCACTTCAACCTCAGTGAACTCAACAGAAGGGCAGCAGCGCCCCCGATGTGACATTCTGGGCACACCCTGGCCCTGGTGGTCACATCTGTTGGTAGTGCCTGCTCTGGAGGCCTCTCCGGCTCTCCTTCTAGCCCAGGGGTCTGATGCTGTGGCCTGCACTCTTGCCCATGCTAAGAACTAGCATATTCTTTACACATCCAGCTTCTCTTTGGCTAGAAGCAGGGCTTGCAGCCTTGGGATTTTTTTTTTTTTTTTTTTTTTTTGGGTTTTTTTTTTTTTTTTTTTTTTTTTTTTTTTTTTTTTTTTTTTTGAGATGGAGTTTCGCTCTTGTTACCCAGGCTGGAGTGCAATGGCGCGATCTCGGCTCACCGCAACCTCCGCCTCCTGGGTTCAGGCAATTCTCCTGCCTCAGCCTCCTGAGTAGCTGGGATTACAGGCATGCACCACCATGCCCAGCTAATGTTTTGTATTTTTAGTAGAGACGGGGTTTCACCATGTTGACCAGGATGGTCTCGATCTCTTGACCTCGTGATCCACCCGCCTCGGCCTCCCAAAGTGCTGGGATTACAGGCTTGAGCCACTGCGCCCGGCCCGCAGCCTTGGGATTTTTATGTAGCAGGATTTTCCTGAAAAAGCAAGGATAGTTGCTCTCTCTGTTACATGCTTTTTCATATCCCATCTCACACCTGTACACACTCAAGTGCACACTCACACACCCATTTTACATGCTCTCCACATGAAAGTTTTCTTCTAGCCCTGTGGACATTGTGTAAATTTTTACTTGTAGCAACATAACAGACTTACGGCTTTCTAAAATCTACAAAATTCTAGCCAGCTACCTCTACACTCATCATGCATGCATGCACACATGCACACGCACACATGCACACATTCCCTATAAGAAAGGATAGAGTGAATTTGTTGGCAGGGCATACATTCAGAGCGCTCAGCAGTCAGCCTTGTGCCCCTCCCATTGAGCCATGCCACTGTGCCCTGTATTGTACTTCCCTGAGCTAGACCTCACTTTCCTATCCCCCACCATGCTCATTCTCCCCTGTGCTGGTTAATAGGCTGCCCTTCCTGCAGGGGCCAGCTGCTGAGCCCCTTTGTACAAGAAATGCCTCTCTGGGCATGGATGAGCTCTCCACTATCTGCACACTTATGATCTTAGCATTTTGCTGCTTCACTTCTCTGGAGATTTCACATGTATAAGTTGGCTCAAACATCCACTGTGTCACCCATTAGGAAGCACATCATAGGTTCTTGTTATTTGGTTAACCAGTTAACTCACCCCTCACAGCTGGATATTATTTATTTTGTTTGGTTAAATGTGTAGTTACTGATACTGCCATTTAAAACACACCTGCTACGTGAAACTTTTCTCCATTATAAGACTAAGAAAAACTTTTTTCTTTGCTCCAGCGCTTGACCACATCCCATCCTGGAGAGCAGAGGGAAACCGTTCTGCAGGCCTACATCAGCAATGACCTCTTGGACTGTCATAGCCACAACCAGGTTGGTAAGAGGTGGCTCACATCATGGCCAGGGCCTTCAATTCTAGGTAATGATCTTAGCATTGTTCCCCATCTGGGGGAAGCTTTAATTTCTGTGCACATTTTCAGCATCATAATTGTGTGTCAGCCTTGAGCTCGTGAGATCTTTTGTTCACCCTGGGCATTGTCCTACTTTTTGCTTCTAGTAAAGAGTTCTAAACAAGTTAGAACTGCTTGATTCATCATCTCTGGAGCTCTTTTTGGCCGTTTTTCCTTTTCTCAAATTCCTCTTTGACCTCACTTCACGCTGCTTGCCATAAGTCCTGAAAACTGAGTATGACTTCAGAGGAACGAAGTAGGTAAGCAAATTCAGGTTGGTTACATCTGGGCCTGACTAACAGTGTCTTTAATACAGTACATACATATAGTTTTGGACCAGATAGGTCTACTGATCCTGTGGGATAAGTATGAGATTTGGGGTAAAATAAACTTTCTTTCCAACCTCTGCTCTACCACTCATTAGCCAGGTCACTGTAAGCGAGTTACTCAATCTCAGGCATTTCCTCGTCTGGGAAAGGAGCTGTGCCTGCCTTGGGAGGTTGTTGGGATGATTACATACAGTCATATGTGGGAGTCCTTAGCTCCAGGCCTGGCACTGAACAGTCACTAATGGTCTTTCTCTCTGTCCCTGCCCCTCCTATCTGTATCTGCACTAAACTTCACTGGACAGGAGGAGGATCAGGATTTTGAATTTGGCACATGTTAAGATGGTACTACATTTTATTATTTCAGTTGAATTTTTATCCAGAATGTGGTAAAAATGTATGTTAAACTTCACAATGTATGCACTGAGTGGAGTATCAAATTATCTTAATTCTCACTGATTAAATAACTGTGTTAGGCCATTTCCTGCTGCTAGAACAGAATACCACAGATTGAGTAATTTATAAACAATACAGGTGTATTGTACTCAGCAGTTCTGAAGTCTAGGAAGTCTAAGAGCATGGCGTCAGCATGTGGCAAGAGTCATCCCAAAGCAAAAGGCAGAAGGCAGAAGTGAGCACGCAAGACAGAGAATGGAGGGCGAAGCTGTCTTTTTATCAGGAGGTTACTCACGATAACTAACCCACTCCGGTAATAATGGCAGTAATCCATTAATGCCTAATATCTTAAAGGTCCCGCCTCCCTGTGCTACAACATTGGCAATTAAATGTCAATATGAGTTTTGGTGGGGACATTCAAACCATAGCAACAGACCCTGGGAAAGCGATGCACACATTCTGTTTTGCATACAGGCTATAATTTGAGTTTCAAGTTGCCAGTTTACTCTGCGAATGTAATCTTAATGCTCTCATGAAAGAGTTGTGTTAAGTTTGAAAATACTCACATATTCTTGACTTATTTTCTTGCCTTTTTTCCTGTTGGGTTTTTAATGGCATTGAATCCAGCCTATAAGGCATGAAGCAGCTGAATAATATATTGTTACAACTTCCAAACTCAAATTCAAGGAGTAAAGTCAATACTGATTATTTCTAACATTATTTCATTGAGTCGAAGATACACTTTTCCCCGTCTTAACATTTTTGCCAGTGGGGTGTATCTGACAGTGAATGGCATATTATAGTTTAATTGGCAGTGTTTTTCTTTTCTTTCTTGATTATACGTAAAACGATAATGTGTCCTCTTATGAAAGGTGTCTTGCGTTTTGTCATCTGTAGTTTTTATCAAAAATACAGTGATCTCCATAGTCATTGAAGAGAATAATTTCTTCCTCAAGTCATTATATATAATTCTTGTGGTTTATTTATTTATTTTGAGATGGAGTCTCAATCTTGTTGCCCAGGCTGGAGTGCAATGGTACGATCTCTGCTCACTGCAACCTCCACCTCCTGGGTTCAAGCGATTCTCCTGCCTCAACCTCCCAAGTAGCTAGGATTACAGATGCCTCCCACCACACCCAGCTAACTTTTGTATTTTTAGTAGAGAGACCACTAAAAATCTTTCACCATTTTGGCCAGGCTAGTCTCAAACTCCTGACCTCAGGTGATCCGCCCACCTCAAGTCTCCCAAAGTGCTGGGATTACAGGCTTCAGCCACTGCGTCCCTCTATGGTTTACTTAAGAAGAAATGAGCTGAACCCTTTTACACTGCTGGTGGCAATGTAAATTAGTACAACCGCTATGGAAAACAGTATGAAGATTCCGTAAAGAACTCAATGTAGAACTACCATTTGGTTCAACAATCCCACTACTGGGTATCTATCCAAAGAAAAATAAGTCATTATATGAAAAAGACACATGTACACACATGTTTTCAATTTGCAGTTACAAAGATTTGGAACCAACCTAAGTGCCCATCAACCAATGAGTGCCTAAAGAAAACGTGGTATATATATACCATGGGATACCACTCAGCCCTAAAAAGGAATGAAACAATGTCTTTTGGGGCAACTTGGATGGAGCTGGAGGCCATTATTCTAAGTGAAGTAACTCAGGAATGGAACACCAAATATCATATATTCTCACTTATAAGTGGGAGCTAAGATATGAGGATGCAAACAAAAATGATATAATGGACTTTGCACAGGTGACAGTGTTCACTGTACCCAATGGGTGCACTAAAGTCTCAGAAATCACCACTAAATAACTTATCCATGTAATTAAAAACCACCTGTACCCCATAAACTTGAAATAAATTTTTTTTTTTAAAGAAAAGAAGAAATAGGCCGGGTGTGGTGGCTCATGCCTGTAATCCCAGCATTTTGGGAGGCCGAGGCAGGTGGATCACCTGAGCTCAGGAGTTTGAGACCAACCTGGCCAACATGGCGAAACCCTGTCTCTACTAAAAATACAAAAATTAGCCAGATGTGGTGATGCATGCCTATAATCCCAGCTACTTGGGAGGCTAAGGCAGGAGAATTGCTTGAACCTGGAAGGCAGAGGTTGCAGTGAGCCAAGATCATGCCACTGGGCTCCAGCCTGGGCAGCAGAGTGAGACTCTGTCTCAAAAAAAAAGAAAAAAGAAAGAAATGAGTGTAAGTTGTCTTAAGATGTCAGAGAATCTGCAGGGCAGAAAGATTCCTTGTCCAACATGGATGTGTCACTATGGCACCATGGTAACCTGGCCTGTACACACAGGAAATTGAATTCCTTGGTTTGTTCCTCTCCTGTAGTGGTTCTCAAAGTTAAATGTGCATCATTATCTCCTAGAGGTCTCATTAAAACACAGATCAGGTCCCACCAACAGTTTCTGTTCAGTAGGTCTAGGGTAGGGCCCAAGGATTTGCATTTCCAGCAAGTTTTCCAGCGATGTCAATACTGCTGATCCAGGGTGCTTTGAGAATTACAGTTTGAGACCAAAAACTTGAATGGAGCCAAATTTAATGAAATTGCAAGGCTGCATTTTTCATTTTTAGCTGAATTCTGAATTTTTCATTTTTAGCTGAAACCTGAGCTCAGGAGTTCGAGACCAGCCTGGCCACATGGTGAAATCCGCCTCTACTAAAAATACCAAGTTCTTCATATCTCTAACCATCTTAACCACTTTTAAGTGTACATTTGAGTGGTATAAAATGCATTCATAATGCTGTGCAAACATCACGTACCGTCAATCTCCATAAACAACTTTTTTCTTCTTGTAAAACTGAAACTTTGTACCTGTTAAGCAATAATTCTCCATTTCCCCTTACTCCAGGCCGCTGGCAAATCCCCATTCTACTGTTTGTCTCTATGATTGTGACTACTACAAATACCTCATATAAGTAGAATTGTCCACTGTTTTTCTTTTTGTGACTGGCTTATTTCACTTAGCTAATGCCCTCAGCTTCATCCACGTTGTAGCATACGTCAGAGTTTCTTTCCTTTTTAAGGCTAATGCTTCCTCATATGGATGGACCAGATTTTGCTCATCTATCTGTTCCTCTGTCAGTGGACATTTGGGCTACCTCTACCTTTTGGCTACTGTGAATAGTGCTGCTGTGAAGTGTGCATGCACATCCTGACTTCTGTGTTAATTCGTTCCTTGCTTTGTAGTTCTCCCATCTATGTATATAGCCTGCAAAATACCGTGTTTGCTTTTGTGCTGAGTAGCAAGTACCAGCCTCACTCTGCAAGGAAACGGGACTGTGCCCATGTTAGATGAAGTTACCTAGGAGAAAATGGCATAAACAAAAGTTTGGGATAATAGTTGGACATAGCTTCCCAGAACATTTATTGATTCCCTCCGGTGACATTGGTAATCAAAGCTGGGAGAGAGTCCTGTGAAACCTAGACCGTGTGGCAGAATTGAAAGATCATCCAGGTGCCAGTTGTCCAGCAGCAATATTGATTGATTGATTGATTGATTGAGACAGAGTCTCACTGTCACCCAGGCTGGAGTACAATGGCACAATCTTGGCTCTGTGCAACCTCCATTTCCTAGGTTCAAGCAATTCTCCTGCCTCAGCCTTCCAAGTAGCTGGGACTACAGGTGTGTGCTACCACACCCAACTAATTTTTGTATTTTTAGTAGAGATAGGGTTTTGCTGTGTTAGCCAGGCTGGTCTCAAACTCCTGACCTCAGGTGATCCGCCCACCTCGGCCTCCCAAAGTGCTGGGATTGCAGGTGTGAGCCACCGAGCCTGGCCCAGCAGCAATATTTTTTTTTTCAAATTTTTGAAT